TTTAAGTAAAAAATGGATTTTACTGAATGGCTCACAGAATGGGAGGCAAGGCTAAAGAAAGAGATCTCATGAGGAAGCTAAATGTTAGTCTTTCTAGGGTAATATCCTAGGATGAATGAATGAATACTAATTGTTTTCCATCTCTGCCTAACATTCAAATTCCACGGAGAGCGTGTCATCGAACTTGGGCTCACATGCCCACGCTATGACAGCGAAATGAGAGACGCCTTGGACACCAGTCCCATCAGCGTTAATCTCAGTAAAAGAGGTACTGCTATCCAAAGGAAAACTGAGCTGTGATTTCAGAGTAGAAGATGGATCCGCGCCAACTCAAAAACAATGCCGCATCATGTATAAATACAGCATCACTATAATTACTATGCCTACATGACCCACAGAAAAAGGGAAAACTCGTGAGTGTTAAATTAATGGTAGCAATCTCACTTTCAAACACCACCTGAAAATCACCTAGCTCTCAGTCCCTGGCCCTGTCCTAACTCACAGCAATGTCAGGTATGAAGACACTAACAAAACGTGGGTCACGATCTTCAGAGTAAGATGATGCCTCCAAACATCAGTGAATCTTCCTAGCATCAAAAGGATCAGTTGGGTGTATTTTAAGGAGCAATCAAAGAAAAGAAAAATTCTAACATGTTTTTTCCAATACTTCTGACCCTGGGTTTAAAGGAAATCAGCATCTTTTGAAAATTTCTCTCATGTCTTTTCAAATGTTTGTTGATGTTAGATTCGCATCATCCATCGTTTGTTTTTAGCTTAATCCTTCTGTTACCAGAAGAGCTAGTATGATATGCTGTTCTTCTGATTAAAAAAAAAGATAATTGTATTTAAGCTTAAAAAATAGAAAAATAAAAGAAAAAGTGGAAAGATCTTCCTAGTGGAGTGGTGATTTCCTTCCCCAGATAGTTGCCAAGCAAAGGTAGCTATTGGTCAGTGGAGAAGAGTCCCAGGTTCTGTCATTAATGGCCAGAGCTTATGTCCTGCATGTCCATTCCAATGACCAGAATCTGTCATTCTATTTACTTATTTATTTTTAATGTAGGTACTGGGGATTGAACCCAGGACCTTGCGCATGCTAGGCATGCGCTCTACCACTGAGCTATGCCCTCCCTCTCAGAAGCTGTAATTCTGAATCTAATTAACATCAACATGGAATCTCAAAACACAGCCAGACAGTCGTAGAAAAGGAAGGTATCATTTCAGAGGATATCATCATTTTCACCCAGAAATTGCTTAAAGTCTTAACACCTAAAGAGGTGTATTAATACATTGAACTTGTTTATGAAGAATTATAACTAATAGAAAGTATGATGTATTTCTCCAGCAAGAGAAGGTATTCCAGGCTTCCAGAGCAGCTGAAGCAATTAAATCTAGCCAAAGCCAGAATTTGTTCATGGAAAATGACTTCGTTGTTAATGACATTTCTAGGTTCTATACTTTGATGGAGTAGAAGAACACAATAGCACATCAAGGCATACTATCAACTGTACTAAAACAGACATTATCCAAAATGGCAAAAATTGGGAACATAAAAACTTTAAAAATAGATAAACAACAAGTTTCATCTGTATAGCACAGGGAACTATATCCAGTATCTTGTATTAACCTCTAATGACAAAGAATATGAAAACGAATATATATATGTATACCTATGACTGGCACATTACGCTGTACACCAGAAATTGACACATTGTAACTGATTATATTTCAATTTAAAAAAAAAACTTTATGAGGTTAGCAAACAGGAAAAAAAGAACTTCATAAAACTTCATAAGAGTCTAAAGGTAACAATTAGTGATGAAGTATGTTTTAATGGGTAAAATTAATATCCTTTCTAAGTGAACAGAAATACTGATAAAATAATAGAAATTGAAATTCATACATATACATTATCAAACTGGTCATTCTAGAGAAGGAGGAGGAATTGAAGGTCTTCAGAGGATCCTAGATCTTCAATCATTTTCTAAAACACTTAATGAACTGAAACAATCTAAAACTGCCAACTATAAAGCACTGGTTAAATAAATCCTGATGCACGCATTCAATGACATACCCCGCGACCACAAAAAGGAGTAAAGGACCCCATCATGTCCTGACAGAGAAATCAAGGTCTAGATCAATTTCTATTAGCTGTCATGGAGGAAAAAGGAAAATGAGTAAGAGAATGGTTACACATTTGCTTCTGTTTACTCTGAACATCTCCAAAGGACACATCAGAAACTGTTAACACTGGTTACTTCTGAAGTGGACGGGGTAGCAGGGGAACAGGACTAAGGGGAGATTTTACTATGTGTTCTTTCTTCCTCTTGGATTAAAATAATGTGAACACTGCCTATTCAATACATAAATAAAATTAATTTGTTTAAAAATTAATTTTCATTTTCTCAATTCATTAAACTGCTTCTAACAGTGGATGAGATTATGGGACATTAAATTCAGAACACCTGGCAGTGACACCAAAAGAATTTGGACAGTTTGGTAGAGTACATTCATATTAAAGTGGTGACTGGTGTCACCAGTTGGTATTGGTACCATGCTGTTGTTCCCCTGGGCCTCTGCTAAGAACATATAAGACTCAACTGCCAGGTGGCAAAAGGTAAATCCATTGGTGATGAGCAGAATCAACAAGACCAATGGAGGAGAAGCTTCCTCATTACTCTTTCTGCCAAAAGACAAGACCAAATGCAATGTGTACAAATGTCAGAAGCAGGTGGGTGAGATATTTAGCATTGTTTATTTTCTACAATTCAACCTAAAACTTCTGTTCTGAGCCCCTCTCCATCAAAATTCAACACTCTGCTTTCCTTCCCAAGAATGGCATCTAAGACCTAGGAAGACTTTGTTGTGCCAAGGGGCTGGGGCAAGGGAGGGAGGCGGCATCCGATTTTCTGTGTGTCTGGCCGTGAAGATGCCCGAAGATGTCAATTGCCCTGCCTGGTCCCTCATCTGTCTATCCCCATGTCTGGGGGGATCCCCAATACCCCAAAATGAATGAGCCTCATCACTTTCCTTCTGGGTCTCCCTTTCACCTTTCTTGCAGCTGGAAGAACCTTTCTCTTTTCTGGGGCAAGAAAATCGTGGTTCCCTGCAACTCCTGCTGTTTCCTTCCAAGCATGTCTTGTGTTCTTTCCACTTCCCTGCAAGTCTGCTACAACTCAAATGCCAAGAATCTGTATCTTTTTTCTTTCTGAATTTTTATCCCTTGCATGAGAATCTCCCCAGTGGTCCTCAAACTTGGCTCCACATTAGAATCCTCTAGGGAGCTTTGCAAAAGGACCCATAGCTGGTCCAGGTCCCCAGGGACGCTGATTTATGTGCTCTGAGGACAAAGCCCAAACAGTTATTAATAAAACAGCTCAGATGATTCTAATGCATGGTCAGTTTGAGCATCAATGAAGGGGACGTTTAAAGAAAAGAAAGGAAATACTGGAGAAAGAAACATTTGGTTAATATTTCATAATATTATACAATCATACATGAACACCAGAAGATGGAATTCCTTCAGAATTTGTGGGTGTGAAAA